CTGTGATAAACCGTGGTAGTTCAACTGAGAAAAATAACTTCTTAAAGAAAGATCTTTACAACTGGAGGTGTATCCAAACATGTATCCATGATAAGCTATACATCAGACAGGAATACAGTTCACAGTAACACTTCTAAAGATGGCTAACTACCCTCCTCTGATCGTTGGATTCTGCAACACAAGCTAAAAGTTGTCACAGGAACTTCAGGGCGACTCAAAAGCAGGTTAGATAACAGAGGCTGAACTGCTCAAATCACTCCTTTGGATGCATGAACACCAGAAACATATTATAAATGACATTAATGCACATCATGTGAACTAACATCTTGTTCTTTTTGGACTTTTTTAAATATACTGTGAGCCGTGTTCATGCTCAACTCTCTGACTGCATTTTGCACATGTTAGCACACATGTCTGCACATCCCTCCACTTTATAATATAATACACTGTAGTTTGCCGTATACTCATTGTCCTAAGTGTTTTTGTTTTTTTGCTTTTTTGCTTTTACGGTTATTTGCATAGTTACATTTAAATCTGGTGTAAATACTTGTTGTTAAAGCCATTTTCATTTAGTTATTATTGTCTGAATGTTAGGCTTAATAATAATAATATAAAGTAGATTAAACTCTTACATTAATCAGGTGTTTTTGTGAGTCACACTATGTTTTAAAGGGGACCTATCATGCAAAATGCACTTTTGTACGTCTTTTATACATGAATATGTGTCCCCGGTGTTCCAGGGAACTCACCAAGTGTCAGAAAACACAACCCTCTCTATTTTCCTCCATACCCAAATCTCTAAAAAAGGGGCTGCAACGGATCTGATAAAAACTGATCCAGATTTGAACACTGTCCTGACGTCAGGACGGTGGCGCTACGGCTATTGGGCCAACTCCACCAATCAGGAGGAGACAGCCACGGCTATTGCCGTTCGAAAGCGCTGGAGACGCTGTAGTACATATGCCAGGCCTGTAGATGGTGCTGTTCTCACTGAATCAGCCCTTGCTAAAACAGAGCTAAAAAATGTCAAATTGAGCGAAATGAGGCATGGCTAAAATGCATGATCTGTTTGGTATTTTGAAAAAAAAAAAGTATAAATATGCCTTTATATAGGTATGGTCCTACACTATATTATTCAAATATAGCATGATAGGTCCACTTTAAAGTATATTAGTTTAAGGCTCACTTATTTGTTATGAAAGGTGCGTCAGTATCACGTGCACGGCTAAATGCCTGTATATGGTAGGTTGATAGGACACAGCTGATGGTGATGAGACGGGGAAGCGGAAAAGTCTTTTGACCGTGTTCTTTTTGTTCTTTTGGAGACTGATAACTTTTATTTAGTATGAATCCTATCCTTATATATTTATTTTTGTTACCTACTTTGCAGCTTCTTTTTTTAGATTGTTTGGTATCTGGTGGTACAAACATAAAGCAAACTCCTTGCATGTGTAGACGTACCTGGCAATAAACAAAGATTGTGATTCTGATAACGGATGGTAAGGAAGTGGGGGGGAAAGATTTGGGATTAAGCGAGCATCCTCATACAAATGGAGGTGTATCCAAACATGTATCCTTAGCCTTTACACACAACACATGAATGGATAAGAAGAATACAATTCACAGAAACAGTTCTAAAGATGGTAACGTAAATCAAGTTTAAAGAGGACGTGTTTTGCTCATTTCAGTATCGAGTGCCTTTACTGTGACATATGTGGAGGGAACACAGGGATTTTAGCCTTTGCAGACCATTTACATGCACTAAAACCTATAGTACAATACAGGAAAGGGAACCCCCAAAAAGTTAGTTTTTCTTTCCTATAATAAAATCTTTTGAAGACATCAGTTCAGGTAATATATCAAATGATTAATTGTGTTGTTGATGCATGCAGTCTCATCAATACTGAAAAGAGTAGATGACCATGGATGTATAATAAGAACTGGATACAGCGTGGGAGGCGGGGTCTCGTTCTTTCCTATGAGAGCTGCTCATTGGCTCATGAAGACAAAGTGGCCCAACTTTTGAGAGAGCGAAACGTCACAGATTACCCATCATGCCTAGCTGTCAGAGCAGAAGTACCCGTATGTGCGCTCAGAGCATGCGCAGTCGAGTTGCCCCTTAAGCCCCGCCCCTCTCGGCTCACTAGAATGAATGGAGAGAGAAAATAAATCTAGATTCGGCTTTTAGTGCATTTTAAACCTTTAAGGACCGAATGATTTTAATAAGAGCTATACAATAGTTCATACTGGGTCGTTTATTTAGTTAAAAAAAAAGTATCCTCTGATTTACAGACGTCTCTTTCCCAATGTTAGTCAATGGGAAAAAGTTGTTTTGGGCCGGGTGACGTCACGGACTGATACGGTTAAGTTGCAGTACCGCCGTTTGGACACAACGAATATTGGGCACAGAGTCCGGCGCACTTCCTGGGGGCTTGGAAATGACCCATGAATCAGTTTAGATTATAAAAACGTCCGACAGTTTGTTCCTGCTCCGCTGCTCTGTGTCTCCTCTCTCTAAACTTTTTAATTTCCCAGCATGTTTCCTGATGATAGCAGCGAGTCGGCGGAGATGTTCTTTGTTTCTGCAGCTTCTCGCTCTGCCTTTTGTTCCATTGTTGGTAATTTAAATGTGTATTGTGCTTGTGCAAAATGTTGTCAGGCTGGCAGAAACTCTCCTGCTTTCAGACGTGAGAATGAGTTTCTAACAGCAAGTCAACTCTAGAGAGGGGAGAGAGCTCTGGAGACGAACGTGCATCAAGAAAAGGAGGATTTTATTTATCCTGAGGTTCTGGAAAAGTTGCTGGAAAAATACAATAAGGTAAAAATAAATACATACAAATTATTAATATAATTAGTATAAGTACATATATCGAATAAGCAAAAAAAAAGTAATAAAAATACTTATTTAAACATGAAATAAATTATTAAAATATGTATATTAAAATAAGAATGTAGGTAAAAATGTGCAATAAAAAGATAAAATTAAATATTCATATAAAACATTTGCAATAATAAGAAGGTATATAAAAATGTGACCTGGTTCAGTGTGTGTCTGTGTGTGTGTGTCTAACCTCTCTCAGTGTGTGTGTGTGTGTGTGTGTGTGTGTGTGTGTCTGTGTGTGTGTGTGTGATGCTGACCTCTCTCAGTGTCGTGAGTGTGTGTGTGTGTCTCACCTCTCTCAGTGTATAGTGAGTGTGTGTGTGTGAGATTCTGACCTCTCTCAGTGTGTAGTGAGTGTGTGTCTCACCTCTCTCAGTGTATGTGTGTGTGTGTGTGTGTGTGTGTGTGTGTGTGTGTGTGTGTGTGTGTGTGTGTGTGTATGTGTGATGCTGACCTCTTTCAGTGTGTAGTGAGTGTGTGTGTGTGTCACCTCTCTCAGTGTATAGTGAGTGTGTGTGTGTGTGTGTGTGTGTGTGAGATTCTGACCTCTCTCAGTGTGTAGTGTGTGTGTCTCACCTCTCTCAGTGTATGTGTGTGTGTGTGTGTGTGTGTGTGTGTGTGTGTGTGTGTGTGTGTGTGTGTGTGTGTGTGTGTGTGTCTCACCTCTCTCAGTGTGTAGTGATGGGCCATCAGAGCCTGCACCATCTCAGGCAGAGCGACAGGAACTCTTTGGAGCCGGTCGGAGAACGCAGCCAATAGCTGCTCAGACCTCAGCAGCCAATCGTGTCGTCCCGTGTAGTGAGACAGACGCAGCAGATTGGACGCCGACACCGAGTTAGCGCTGGGCTCTGCTCCATCCTGATCTGAGACACAGAGAAAACACTCTGTGAAACAGCTGTGGACGTGTTTCAGGCTTTACATTTCATTCAAAGAGACTTAAAATAAGTGCACTCAATGAGGATACAAACCCAAAACAGCAAGGCAACCAAGACTTATGATTTGAAGAAGAAGTGTAACCAACATTTCTGTCAAAAGCACCTTTTTTTCTTATAAAAATGTGACTTTCATACATGCCAAATTATTAAAAGATAGTGCTTTAATATCGAGGAGTCCGAGCATACCACCTTCATTTGTCACATGTCTCAGACTTCATAAAGCAGGGGTGTCAAACTCAAGGCCCGCTATACTGTATATATATATATAATACGTTTACTATAAGGTTACATGCCACTTTACAGAAGCACGTTGCCCATAAACTACATGTCCCACAATGCATCTCATTTTGTGACATGCGCACTGAAGAGACTTGCAATTATTTGCCCGAGACTTCTGCTTTCAGACATTAATTATGAAGTTATTACCCTACCCGATAATAATCTAATGCAGAGGCAATAATGTGGAATAATACATTATTTTATATATGTATGTTATATATTTATATAGTCTTAAAGTTACAACTGGCCCATTGAGTGCAACCTTAAAGGTCCCATGTAGGTTTTTCTGCATGTAAACGGTCTGCAGTCACAAACCCTCAAAGTACACCCTGTAGCGAGTAAAACTCTAACACAGAAAAGACCTGTCTATGCTGCCCCAGAACGCCTCGTTGGGGATTTCTCTTTTCCCATTGTTTGCTTCCTGGGTTCAGTGACGTGTGAACACCCAAATCAACAACAAATGACCGGATTGGCCCAAATGGACCAATCCTTGGAGCACCTCACACACCAGGATCCCTTGGCTAACTAACAGGGAGTCCCATTGACTTGCATAGAGCTCCCTGAACGCTGGTAATAGACGAGTTGGGATGGCAGAGAAATGCTCTCCGCAGACCCATTCTCACAGCGTTATAAACCTTTTTCTTACTCAATATCAAGCCACACTTATTGTGTTTACTTCGGCTGTGAGTGTTTGTGTGTGCTCAGGATGAGTTTCGCTTGGTCTCGCTGTATCGCCGACCCGGAAACCTGTCCGCTCCTCGCAGCAACGAGCCTCGCAACGTCCCGACCAATCAGAGCACACTCGGCTCACAGGGAGGGGGGGGGGCAGGAGCTCCAACAAGCCGTTTAGGACAGAGAGTGAATACACATTCTATACAGAGATGCTGTATGAGAAACCAATGTGAGTTTGGAACATTGAACAATATAAATGTATTCTAGTAGACCTCAACAATGGAAATATGATCAGTAGAAATGGCCATGACATGGGACCTTTAATGTTAATGTGGCCCCTGATGAAATTAAGTTTGACACTCCTGGTATAAAACATAGCAGTTATAGTCTTATGCTAAACCATTGCTTACCAATCGAGTGGTGCAGGAATGAGTCCTAAAACCTGAGAAAAAGTCGGCATTTTGCAAAGTCTTAATTGTAACGAAATTCAATTTAAAAGACTGGCACTTCATCGCCACACATCACGTACACATTATATTATCAATAGCTTTCCATCTCCAGTCCGTAAAGAAATATCATTTCTTAAGCACATTTAAATGTTGTCTATGTTGTATATTGCATACATATGAGTTGGAAAGGAAAAAAGGGAGCATGAAACCCAAGAGTGTGACTTTTATGTGTCTCTTTGTACAGAAAATGTTAGTTTTTCCTCTTTTTGATTGTTATTCATATTTTTTGACGACTTCATCTTCGGCAGGACTTTTGTTTGACACCTTATAGATAAATGTAGTTATTAGATTTATTATAAATATTTGATTATCTTCAATACTGCTGATGTTGCAGTAATGAGCTATGAATCAGTTTAGATACTTCCCACAGTTCCTGCTCTGTGTCTCCTCTCTCTGCACTTTTTAATTTCCCTTCTTTTTCAATTTAAAAGACAGACACTCCAGCTCTCATCGCGTACACATTATATTATTAAGAGCTTTCCTTCTCCAGTCCGTTTGTTCCACTTTATCTCCAGTTCATAAACACTTCTCAGTCCCATCACACCACACTCTGACCTCATGACTGCACCCTGTGAGGTGATTGGTCCTTATCTCTTATCAGCGTCCAATGAGAGCCTGGAGGGGATCTTCTCATAACCCCTGACCTGCCTGCAAGAGTGTGAGTGTGTGTGTGTGCGAGAGAGAGAGTGTGTGTGTGTGTGTGTGTGTGTGTGTGTGTGTGTGTGTGTGTGTGTACGAGAAAGTGACTAGGAGTTGGTAGCTGCCACAAGCTGCTTTTAGGTCACAAAATAGCAAAGTTAACCCCCTACACACACACTCACTCTCTCTCTCTCACACACACCTCCTTTTGTACACCGAACACAATATTATATTTTTTATGACAGCTGTGAATTCAGCCTCCCGTATAGATGCACGTGAAGCGTCATGCATGACTGAACTCTAGAATTAATTTGATTTTACACAGTGTGTTGAGCCCCGTGGCAAGGACACACACACACACACACACACACACACACACACACACACACACACACACACACACACACACACACACCACACACACACACACACACACACACACACACACACACACACCACACACACACACACACACACACACACACACACACACACACACACACACACACACACAGTTTATCAAACATCACATCATAACATATTAGGGTTTAATTAATGTACAAATGTTCTGGTTCAAAATAAGACCAAACATGTCTTTGGATGTCAGTTTTTAAAACACATAAAAAGGGCAACAAATTATCTTTAAGACGACTTTTTTAGAATAAAAGATTTCCGGAAACGCTTTTATCTACCACCGAGTGAAGAGGAGTGAGGAGTCAGCCGCCAACAAAGGAATTAAATGTCAATAAAATATGGTTTTACTGCGACTACAATAAGGTAACAGTCATAAATTAAAACCAATATATATATATATATATAAGGCTGATTGGCTGCGGACATTCAAACATGCTTTGACATATTTGTGCTTTACCTGAGTGTTCCTTTTTTATGCTACTCTATACTTCAACAGGTCAGTGTGTAGGGCTGTACAGTGACTGTGTGAGTGTGTGTGTGTGTGTGTGTGTGTGATCTGTCTTCAGTGACAGGTCGTTCTGATGGGACAGCGTTCACACTGTAGCGTCACTAATGGGCTTCAGAGCAACACAGCACCGCAATAATGGCAGCGTCGATACAGAGAGATGAGAAACCTCTCACACGTCAGGTCCCATAAAACACACACACACATACACACACACACACAGTCACAGTCACACATACACGTAGCCATCGTGTTCAATCTGTCAGCAGTTCTTAACAAGAATAACTATTAGCCTTTCCTCGGCTCCCGCCCAGCTGTGGTGTGTTACTGCCGTCTGAACTACTTACACCAAGCTATTTGTCATACCTGTGTGTGTGTGTGTGTGTGTGTGTGTGTGTGTGTCATCTAGAACATTCAAACTGACAAAATCCCAGCTTAAATTCTCCGTTCTGACCTTTTCTGTTTGTTTTCTGAGACGGATGTTAAATCTGAAAAGTTTCTGGTCCAAAGAAAGGTGGCAAATCATACCGTACATTTTCTTTTACACTGCTCACATGCAATATTCACTCTTAATATAATATATCTTGTGTTACTACTGGCTGATACCTTCCTTACTCTATATATTCACATGCGTGTGTGTGTGACAGGTGAAAGGTAAATGTCCGCCTGAGCTGCAGGCATCAGTCAGAGACACAGAAAGAGCAGCAGTCAGGAACCTGGAGGTCAGACACATATATATTTATATCCCATCAATCCTTGTCCTTCTGTCAAATATATATTCTACATACAGACTCAAACTGACCAGTATAAAAAGGTTGGATCATTTCGTCTCGGTTTGTCACAGCCTGCAAGTTAAATCAGAAATCCTTTGAGATGAGAAAACGATAAAGAGAAACGAGTAGACTTGCATATTAAATAACAAGACAAGCACGTGTTGTGAAATAATATGAACAAATATGCAAAAACAAATAAGTGCACCATGGAAAAAGTACAGAAGGAGCAGTATCTTAAAGGAAATATATAAGTAGTGAAGGAGCCGGTAACGCCGAGACATTTTAAAGAAACAAAGCGTAAATTGTATTTTAAGTTATATGAGCAGTGGTAACGCACAACTGTTCTTGCATTTCAAGGCAGTGTGAGTGTGCACAAAGTAGACTAAAATAGGCAGTTTTTTGGGCATCATTTGGGAAATAATCCATAGTTACTTTTCAGAATATATAGTCATTCAAGTGGACGCCAATGGTAGGCAGTTTTCTGTTAAAGAATAAAATAGCCAGTATTTTATAGTGGCAAATCTATGAGAGTTGGCGTCCTGCTTCGTCCTCAAACGTAAGGGTTTGTGAGGCCTTCTGAGATAACTGTGCAACTGTTATTATGAAGTCAGTAAGTAAGTCAAATGTATTTATAAAGCGCTTTTCACAGACAAAGTCACAAAGTGCTTGACAACACATCATAGGAATCATAAAATAATAAATGACCACACAAGCCACGTGTTAAGAAGTGCTAAAAACACAATAAAAACATAGGATAAGTAGTTATTAGAGAAGCTATATCAGTAATAAACGAGAGTCTTTTTGTGTGAAATCACCCTCGAAAAGTACAGTTTTAATAATTGAACGTCTATCCTTTTACTTTTCATTTACTGCACTGATGAAGTCGCCTGTTTGCTTTTAAGTCTCTCCAATATCCACAACTTTATACCCTAGTTTTTATCTTATTACAGATTATATTTAATGCCAATGGTGTTCCTTAATCCTGAGCTTAAAGGTGGGGTAGGTAAGTTTGAGAAACCGGCTCGAGATCGCTAGAATTTGAAAATACACAGCCGGAAAAAATCTGCCACTTCCTTACAGAGCCCCTCCTCCATCACACACGAACGCGCACATGACCAATGAGGGCACGAGATAAGTTTGTGCACAGATGGAAGGCTGACAGGCAGGTAGGCCATCCAGTTATTTTAGCCGGGCCGGCTCAGATGATTGGTCGTGCTTTTTACAGTACTACGGCTTCCACAGATGACATTTTTTTATGGATTTTGTGTCAAAGCACTTCAGATATTCATTGCTATCGGGATGTTAAGAGCATTCCATGGAATATAACAAAAAGTGTATCTCGAGCCGGTTTCTCAAACTTACCTACCCCACCTTTAAGGACAAGGTTTGAGGGGGATACAAAGAACGAGAATGCATCGTTTAAAACACCAAGGACCTCCAGGATGAAGTGAGGAAGATGAGAATACCTAGAGGCAGATTCCCACTGTATATTCCTGCTGTTTAAATCTGTCAAAAGCAGAAGGTCTTTGAGTCAAAAAGCAGACAATCTGACAGGTTAGTGATGAGAGAATCTGCAGCAGAAGAGCGTCAGAGTTTCAGAGTTTCATGGAGAGACAGCTGCACTTCACTAGAGGAAGATGGAGGTCAATATCCACCTGTCTTTCCTCCACCACCACCTCCTCTCCGGTGGTTTAGGAGCAGCAGTGGAATGAAACATGCAGAATCCTCCATGTTGTTAAGCTCCGGATCAATCCATAGGCAGGATGCATGATTGCTTTCACACAACCATTAACATCATGCATGTTGTTTCCCCACGTGAACCTGGAAATGTTGAATACCCCAAGGTTTTATCATAGAAATGTATAGTAGGGGTTTGCAGGGGTTCATTAGCATTAATTAGCATATGCAGACAATAACAAAATAGTGCCTGGGCTGATTTGGACAATATTGGTGTAATTGTAGAGATATATTGAGGACGTTGAATCAGTTTCTGACATTTCTAGGATCCAAAATGGGAGTTTTGAGTCCCCTAAAACATCAAATCGACCCAAAATTCATCAAAATGAGCCCACCCGATTACAAATATGGCAATTTTCTGGTTAAAACCGCCATTTTAGATCCTGAAAATATCAGAACTGTATTCAACATCCTCAATAACCTCCAAAACAACTAACTAACTATTGTCTGCATATGCTAATTAAAGCAACTAATTGTGGACATTGCCCAAGATATGCAGGTCAGCATCCGGCAGTTTCTATGTTCTTGGGACTGATACTATACATTTCTCATGATAAAACGTTGGTGTACTCAACGTTATCGGCTCCACAATAAATCTCTATGATCTGCAAACAGACTACAATATTTTATATATATTAACAAACTGCCAGTCGGCCTCACATTTATCCCTCCATCCTTGAAGCGTCCACAGAGGTAAGCTCCTCCGTTAATCCTTCACCTGTCCATAAATCCTTCCTGCGTCTCAGAGCCTATTAGAGCCTCAGCAGCATCCATATCTGATTTATTTCCTACAGCTGTTGGACGCTCAGACTGAAATATCCCCTCTACTGGACGGACAGTCTGTAAATTCACTCATGAACTCCAGAGGATGAAGCACAGAAACTTCGGTGATGCCTTGCCTTTCTTCTAGCATCAACATGAGGATGATATTTTCCAGTTTTGGCCACATTTTTACTTATGAGACGTTAATGGGAACCCACATTTCTTCTATTCAGGTCAAAATGAAAGGAAATGTACTCAATACGTTGGTTGACGACTGATTTTCCTGCATGACTTTCTTAAACCTGCTAAAAGATCGGCGTTTTAGCAACGTTTAGGTAAGCATGTTAGCACGGTTTAGCATTTAGCTTAAAGCACAATACATTGGTAGCACGGTTTAACATTTAGCTTAAAGCACAATACATTGGTAGCACGGTTTAGCATTTAGCTTAAAGCACAATACATTGGTAGCACGGTTTAGCATTTAGCTTAAAGCACAATACATTGGTAGCACGGTTTAGCATTTAGCTTAAAGCACAATACATTGGTAGCACGGTTGTAGGACTCTTATTCTGTGTTCACACAAAGGGAAATCATTTGTTTGAAAGCGGCTATGCTAACATTTTAATTTGTCAAATACGTTGTTTAAAGACTGAATCCCTGCATGGACTTTCCCATCAGATTTAAAAGGTCCGGACACACCAAGCTGATTTTCGGCATCGATAGATGTCGGGCCGTCGATGAGCGTCCTGTCGCCCTACTCAGATTGGTGTGTCCCGCCCCGTCGTGTCTTTTCGGCCGTGCCGACACCTTCCGCCACATGTTGAATCGGGAGGCTGTCAGCTAAAGGCCGTCGGCAAAATAAATCACTCTGATTGGCTGTTCACCTTAGCGAATCAGTGCATGAGAAGCGAAATGGAAGTGAGGGACCCAAACAAACGATTAAGAAGGCAAATCTGAGATTTCATTTAACTCCAGAACAACTTTTAAAAATGCTTGTTTTCTAAATGGAAGATCGATCCGAGCTATGCTAATTTATTATTGTATCTACAATCATCTAATTCGGGCATAAATACGCAGGCATTGGTGCAGGCAGCAACGTTATTGTTTATACACATAGATACCTAAATAGTGTAAAGTTGAAATCATGTAAACATATTCAGAATTTAATTTCTCGCCTAAATTTAAATTCACGAAAATTACACAGATGTTGCTTTGAGAGGACTTTGGACTGCTAATTAAATTATGAATGGTGGCAATATATATCACACAAAGGGCTGGGTTATATCTATACTCATATATCAACGCGTTCATCTCCCCACCTTTCTTGAGCTGCAGCAGGATGGAGGTGTCGTTGGGGTCGCTGCAGAAGTACCCTCCGTCCTGCTGATCCCAGAACAGCACGTCCTGTCTGAGCTGCAGCTGCTCGGCCCACTGAAGCCACTGCGTCTGCAGCGACGCCTCGTACAGGTCCAGCAGACCTGAGACCAGGAAGGCGTAGTCGTCCAGGAAGCCGGAGATAGGAGGAGATCTGCCGGATAGAGAGGGAGGGAGGAGAGATCTGAGTAAAAAATGCATCGATAGATCAGTGACATGGGGTTACTGTTGGTGAACTAGTTTGACTTGAGCCGTCCCTTATAGATACTGTCTTTTTACGTTAGTGAGCCGGATCATTTGGCTCGGCTCTCTTAAAGCGCCGGCTGTTTCGGCTCTCCAAACGGCTCTACAGAATTGTTCCTCGATTTCGTAGTACACTAAATAAATGTATAAATGCAACAGAGACACTTCCCCCTTCACCTGTCTCTCCCTTTAAACAGGTAACCTTTGCATTATATCTTTTCCACTTTGAGAGACATCACTTCAGGGCGTCTCAATTTTACAATCTGTTCTCTGTGATCTGCTAACAGCCCTCTCCCCTCTCCCACAGTTCCCATGATGCCCCCCCCCCTCCCCCCCCTGTCTGGGTGAGTGCAGGAGGACAGGTCGAGTGTGTGAGGAGAGGATGGAGGTGAAGATGCTGAGATCAGGAGGAGAGGGAGGGGTCATATGTGGGACTGTTTTTGAGGCTGATATTATTAAGAGACGGGGGGAAACATACCTGTTCCACACACGTGTTTACATATTTACTCTTGTTGACACATGTTTTGTTATTCTATTTTTACTTATATCAACTTTTTAAATTTTTTGGGATATTTTTTTTTTACCAAACTCCTAAATATTTTTATTTTTAAATGTTTGTATCACACATCTTCACTTTAACGTCCCTATGTTTGTAAATGATATTACTCAATTTTATTTTTTAATAAACCTTTCTACTTACAGTATGTTAAATAAATACTAATGATTTAAATATTTGTATTCTATTCTATTTAATTTGATCTTGTATTGGACATTTTAGTCTTACATCGTGTCTTTATACATATTTAGTATTATTAATATGAATAAAACTAGATTAAAAATAATCTGATTCTGACTTTTTAATTTATTTTTCGTTTTTTGTCTTATATCTTTCTTACTTTTCTTCTCTACCTTTTCCTCCCCAGTCGACTAACCCAGTTTGTATCATCACCTGTAATTCCTCCAGGTAAACACGCTCTAAATGTGTCCCGCCAGAGAGATGGTGAAGCTGAACCAGAAGCTTCAGAGAAACATCCGGAGCGTTTTAAAAGACGAATCGCTGTGGAAACAGGCCGGTGATTAAAATTGAATGCATTTCTTCATGCATGTTGTGGGGCACATCTTGTTTCTTCTGCTGATTCAACGTTATTTCCCACTCACTCATTCACAGGAAGTAGGGCACGGGGCGAACAGAACGAGGACATCTGGAGGAAGTGTCCATGCAACAAGGAGCTGTGTTTGTTTACTGATGATTTAACGTGTACACTGACGATACGCTGCCTCCTTCAGGGAGTTCACAGTACTGCAGGCTGTTTGGAGATCTCCTTTGGTCAGGTTACAGGATTTAATCTTCCTCAGACATTCACTTATATTTCACAAAACACTCTCAGGACTTTTATATTCCATGTTGTCAGGCGTCCCTTAATCAATATTCATTTAAATACAAGGGGGGCATCTCGTATTGATCAATATCTACATTATGTTCTCTGATTCCTGCTGCAACTGGATTTAAAACTGTGTGTGTGTGTGTGTGTGTGTGTGTGTGTGTGTGTGTGTGTGTGTGTGTGTGTGGTCAAGGTAACGCTGCATGTACTATAATACAACATTTTACTTTGCATATATTGTCAAATACACATTTTTTAAAATATTTATTGTTAATGTATCTTAGTTTTTTTGTTTGATTTTATGTTTAGATGTTGTTGTTTGGTTCACTTGCTCTCTGTGTATCTTTAGAAATAATGATAATTTATTTTCAATATACCGTTTTACTCGTCATAGTCTCTTACATCTGCTGCAGCTCCATGTCTTCTCCTCTGTAGCAGGACCGGAGGACGGTCTGTCGCTCGGCGTCCCACAGGTTCTCCTTCAGGAAGTTAGCAGCCTGAACCGCTCTCTCCAGCAGAGCCTTGTCCTCCAGGACAGCTCCAACACAGGAGTAGGCCGACAGCATCAGACCTGAGAGGAGAAGGAGGAGAAGGAGAAGAAGGAGGAGAGATGATCAGAGAGGAGATATTCTGCTGATGTTCAGGTGTATATCAGTATGTAGTGTCTCTACTTTAAAGAGTCCTCTCCTGCTGATGTTCAGGTGTATATCAGTATGTAGTGTCTCTACTTTAAAGAGTCCTCTCCTGCTGATGTTCAGGTGTATATCAGTATGTAGTGTCTCTACTTTAAAGAGTCCTCTCCTGCTGATGTTCAGGTGTATATCAGTATGTAGTGTCTCTACTTTAAAGAGTCCTCTCCTGCTGATGTTCAGGTGTATATCAGTATGTAGTGTCTCTACTTTAAAGAGTCCTCTCCTGCTGATGTTCAGGTGTATATCAGTATGTAGTGTCTCTACTTTAAAGAGTCCTCTCCTGCTGATGTTCAGGTGTATATCAGTATGTAGTGTCTCTACTTTAAAGAGTCCTCTCCTGCTGATGTTCAGGTGTATATCAGTATGTAGTGTCTCTACTTTAAAGAGTCCTCTCCTGCTGATGTTCAGGTGTATATCAGTATGTAGTGTCTCTACTTTAAAGAGTCCTCTCCTGCTGATGTTCAGGTGTATATCAGTATGTAGTGTCTCTACTTTAAAGAGTCCTCTCCTGCTGATGTTCAGGTGTATATCAGTATGTAGTGTCTCTACTTTAAAGAGTCCTCTCCTGCTGATGTTCAGGTGTATATCAGTATGTAGTGTCTCTACTTTAAAGAGTCCTCTCCTGCTGATGTTCAGGTGTATATCAGTATGTAGTGTCTCTACTTTAAAGAGTCCTCTCCTGCTGATGTTCAGGTGTATATCAGTATGTAGTGTCTCTACTTTAAAGAGTCCTCTCCTGCTGATGTTCAGGTGTATATCAGTATGTAGTGTCTCTACTTTAAAGAGTCCTCTCCTGCTGATGTTCAGGTGTATATCAGTATGTAGTGTCTCTACTTTAAAGAGTCCTCTCCTGCTGATGTTCAGGTGTATATCAGTATGTAGTGTCTCTACTTTAAAGAGTCCTCTCCTGCTGATGTTCAGGTGTATATCAGTATGTAGTGTCTCTACTTTAAAGAGTCCTCTCCTGCTGATGTTCAGGTGTATATCAGTATGTAGTGTCTCTACTTTAAAGAGTCCTCTCCTGCTGATGTTCAGGTGTATATCAGTATGTAGTGTCTCTACTTTAAAGAGTCCTCTCCTGCTGATGTTCAGGTGTATATCAGTATGTAGTGTCTCTACTTTAAAGAGTCCTCTCCTGCTGATGTTCAGGTGTATATCAGTATGTAGTGTGTCTACTCTTCAAAGTGAGCCTCAGCCGAGGACAGGTGATTAATGGAGGGTTTCTTCATTAGAGACGAGAAGGAGACGAGCGCCTAATTGGAAAGTTCTCCAGATCGCAGAGGCTCATTACCTCCCTAACACACACACACACTGTCTGCAGAATCTCTGTGCGTGTGTGTGTGTTCTTGTAATTAAGCACATCTGAGACAATGTGCTGGACAAACAATGATGGGGAGTGTCCAAATTGGCCTCACAGTAATGGAAAGAGACAGGAGCCTCTGTAATCATCTACACACAGTTTCATACTGCGGAGAAAACAAACGTGTGTTTATATCTGTCAACTATCAAAGGACAACATGTCTTGTTTACCTCCTTTCATGAGTGCCTTTGTTAGGTACTAGCAGCTAAATTGGACCACTATCAATGAACCAACTTATTATGCTCTGGTTGTTTTTGAGTGTGGGATAAAAAGCCAAAAATGTGATTTTCTGATGAATATATATTTGAAAAAAAAACACATGCACATACAATTAAAAATGGCCAACTTCCTGTTGGGTTTAGGATATCCCTCCAAGAGGCTTTTTTGTGCATCTCACCATTCTGTATATGCCTACCAAATGTCAGACCTGTAGGTTGAAGCACTACGAGGGGCTAGCAAATATGAAGGGGTGCTGGAGAGCCATTTTGCCTGCACCGATAACGAGACCCCTAAAACATCTCACTTTTCACCAGTCCAAAAATCTCAAGAATCGCATTTTTTAAGTATAAAATGGAACATCCGTCACTAAATAAGCCTATTTTAATGCACATGATATCACTGGTGAAGACAATGTAATGTAAAACAATCTGAAATATGTTTTGTTTTGTTCCATCTGGCGCCCCCTAGAAATAAACTCACGACCCCTCGGTTTGAGAAACACTGAGTAAGATAGTAAGTCAGATTTTTAAATGAGCAGCGAGTCATTCATTATTCACTGAGTTCATGTTGACACTGACTTGCACGCTCCACATAGTGCAGAACAGTTAGTGTGTCATGCATTAAGTGTGTGTGTGTGTGTTATGCAGTTTGCACATTATATGGAGTTTGCAGCTTTCACTTCCTGGTTACTTTGAATAGAAACTGTGGCTGGTAAAGACCTGAGAAAGCGCTATATGATGTAAGGGATAATGTGCAGCGAGGCGGTGATTATGGGTAAAAGAATCAGGATCAGGAGCCCGACATGACTCCCAATATTAATTGAAATGCTTTTATAGATTTGAATTTTTTTTTATTGATTTAAAAAATAGTTTCATTTATTTAAAATGACATGCATCCGCTAAGAAAAATAGTCCGTTGTTACCGTTTGATCTACGTAGCAACGGCAGGAACTGCTTCGATAGCGTTTTTGCGGAGCTTTTTGATTACTGATTTGAAAACATCGTTGCTTGCTTTAAAAGTAGCACAATTCATTATGTCAAACCTTGGGAAGTATCTAGATATCCCTGCCCTAATGCCAAAGGAACTGGCAACTGAATATGTGTTGCTGTTTGATGTCTATGTCTGCCCCGTTACTTCTCCGCTGTTTTCTTGTCCCTCTTGTCTTTTTCTTTTCTTCGCTGGGGACTTATCAGCCACTAACCATTCATCCAAATTACTGTGCTCTCCAAATATATAAAAATTCCATGTCGCTCTCAGACGGGAGACAACGGAAAACTAAAGACAAGCAAACAGTTTGAAAAGCAAACCGGACTTCTTTCTGCAGATGCGAGCGTCCTTAACAACGGTCAATAAGTCCTTGACAGCGGTCTGTACTACTGGATTAACAACGTGTCACGTGTTCTGAATTGACCAATCAGAATCGAGTATTCAACTAAGCCATGTAATAAGTATAAATAGCCTCCTTCACCTTAGTATAAAACATCAAAGCACAATAATCAATAAGTGATTATACCACACACACCACACACACACACACACACACCACACACACACACACACACACACACACACACACACACACACACACACACAACACACACACACACACACACACACACACACACACACACACACACACACACACACACACCACACACACACACACACACAACACACACACACACACACACACCACACACACACACACACACACACACACACACACACACACACACACACACACACCACACACACACACACACACACACACACACACACACACACACACACACACACACACACACACACACACACACACACACACACACACACACACACACACACACACACACACACACACACACCATTGTGACCTCTTTGACCTCACTGCACTTTAATGTCTGATATAAAACAAAAACAGCTCTTATATGACCTCATTAAACACATTATTAGACTGCAGGTATTATATGTATGTATCATGCATCCTACTGAATATGTAGATCACCATGCACTCTATACGGTAAGTAACGTTGTTTTGTCGGTTAGTTAATTGTATAGCATTACCCTGAGACTCACCTTCTCTCTATGAGTCAAATATCTTTCCAAAACGATGAACTTTCCAAATACAATAATTACATTTAAAGTGGAAACAATTGCATCAAAATCTACATTTATATGAACATTTATCTTCCAATTCTATTCATAATTATAGTGGATTACATAGTAGATTTATATGTATTTATAATTATTGAATAATGTTTATTTACTTTTTTTCAATGTATAAACAATGTGGATTAAGCAGAAGAGTAGCAGACAAAAGTGAGAATAAGTTGCTAAAACTGAAAGAAAAGTTGAGTTAAAATATATATAATTTAATACAGTAATAGACTGTACTCTATGTTAAGTATGTTTAGTGTAAACTCGTATTTAAACCAGTTTACGTTACCGTTCCAGGAGGCCAGCATCTTGGTGTCCAGATGTGGGCGGGGCCGGGTCTTCCTCACGTCGGCCATCTTGGCTCTGGCGGCGCTCAGTAGCTCGGAGACTCTGTCCACGCTGAGGCCGAAGCGAGCAGCTGTCAGCTCCACGGAGTAACGCACGATCAGAACGTTCTGACCCCCCAGCTCCCCGTGGGGGTCCTGGGGACATGAAGAGAGAGAGAACCAGAGATGATAAGAGGATATAAACACACACATTTAATATTTAACATGCTGTCTGGAGATATATAATATTAATAAGCGTTGTGTGACTTTTTATTTTTATTTAAATGTGTCTTTATGTGGACATTTTAATTGATGCTTGATCAAAATTGGAATATTTTATCCAGAGAGAAATTGGGTTTTATTACTACAAATTAAATACAGATATTTATACAAACATAAGTAAAAAAAAATGAATAATACAAATAAATATATATTATTTAACTTAAAGTGGACCTATTATGCTATATTGGAAACATATATTGTAGGGCCATACCTATACAAAACATGTCTGTGAAGTTTTTTGCTTCAAATCCCAAACAGTTCCCCCATGCCTCATACTGCTCATACCCCTCCATTACAGCTGTAAGAGAAACGCAGATTTTGGGTCCTTAGCTTTAAAAAAAAAAAAAAAAAAAAAGGAGGCGGAGCTAATGCCTGATCAGAATTCTACCAGAGATAAAGTTAAATTCTGCTGTGATAAAACACCATCCTGTGCTAAACAGGGTTCATACACTTTTTCACCAATGATTTTCAATGACTTTTCCATGACCTTTACCTAATTTTCCATGACCAAAAAAATTACTCTTTCTCAGCGGTACAACTGAAACATTTTTATTTTAACATGGTATGCTGGAAAATAAGGTCTACATATGAAACATGTTGTGCCTATCTAAAACAAATCAAATAGTAGGCTTACTAGCTCCTACAGACTAAAGCCACTGATTGTAAAAATCTCTCACCAGCAAAACACCTTGTCAGTTAAATGCCATTTTACGTTTCATTGCTATACCATACAGTATTTATTATCGTTATAGTATTACTATTTCGGCGATTAGCTAAAATATAAATTATATTTGATGCAACTTTAGTTACATTTCCATGATTTTTCCAAAACTTTGGGAAAAATATTGTTTTCCAGGTTTTTAATGACCGTAGGAACCCTGTTCTAAACCACATCAAGGATTATTTCTGAAACAGTATGGAGCTCAAATGCTTTTTCTCTTGCGGGTTTATCACAAGGTGAGTTCCTTTCTTTATTGCCTGTTTTTTAAACACATGTGCTCTCCAGTACAGGTTAGCTCTGAGTGGAGCTTAGACTTTCCCACTTTCAATTTTAAGAACCATGCTACGTGAGGCTAAACTTCCAGGTTGATGAGGGGGGGGGGTAAATGTTGTTGGAATTTGAATAAAATTCACCAGGAGAGTTTTCTTATTACTATCATAATGAATTCTAGTGGTTGGAGCTTAAAATAAATGAATTGGAAAATGTCCATGGCACTAAGGAGCACCCTAGTGTACCTGTTCTGGATCCACGTTCCCCAGCTCTTTGACCCCGTAGTGATGCATGAAGACGTCCGCCTGAGTCGCTCCAGAGCTTCCCTCCACAACTTCTGGGAACAGATCCCGGACCTCCGCCGCCGTCCAGACGCAGAAAGCTCCCTCCCTCTTCTCAATCTTATCTGCCCCCCCCTCCTTCTTCTCCGGCCCCCCCGACGCCGGGACAGAGTCGGCATCCTCCGCACTGTAGAAACCTCCGGACTGTCCAGAGGAGACGGGAAGAGAAGTTAACAGTAACCTTCCCTGACAAAATAACACTTTTCTAACGTTCCTTTTATTAATATATTTGTGAGGAAGCACCAACTCCCTCACTAACATTTATCCAAGCCTGTTTTTAAAGAAAAGTCAGTCTTTATTTCATTTAAAGAGTTAATTGAGGCCTTCTTGATTTAATAAAAAAGAGAAAACAATGTTTACCTTGCTGCCTCTCATTCAGAGACATGACCTGATTGGCCGGTTTTACTCGGACTCACCTTGTCACTCAGGTCTCTGGAGACGTACAGCAGAATGTCTTTAGCCACGTCTGCAAACAGCTGCTCACCTGAGACCTGGCCAGGTAGACACACAGAACACACACCTGGTGAGAGACATCCTTAAAGATAACATTGAGGGATTAAGAGGCAGGGAATTCAAGACGTCAATGCAAATGCTGAGTCATCATTAAACACAAACTGTAGGTGTGTGTGTGTGTGTGTGTGTGTGTGTGTGTGTGTGTGTGTGTGTGTGTGTGTGTGTGTGTGTGTGTGTGTGTGTGTGTGTAAGTTAAGTCTCACAAAGATTATTTTTCGCTGAATGTGCAATACATGACGTGGATAAGAGAGGTAGAGAATGATGGAGAGATATTTATCTTTTCATATACATAAAGAAGAACACACACAGCGACAGAGACAGATCACTCACACTCACACACACTCTCACACACACACACACACACACACACACACACACACACACACACACACAGACACACACACACACACCTGGGAGGCAGTGATGTAGGCTACAGCCAGCTGAGCCTGGTCGTACAGCATCTTCTCAAAGTGAGGAACATGCCAGGAGATATCAGTGGAGTAACGATGGAAACCCTGAGGACAAGAGACAGAAATACATATTAATTATATACTTTCTGACACTGACATTCAGTTAAAATTAAATATATTATCTCTGAGAACATAAAACTCCATCATCATGATCTTAACATGGATTTATTCTGTGTTCGTTGAGTGTATTAAAAGGTGTCTTTGTAACTGTAATGCTGAATTGTGCATGCTTTTAAAAGGTGCTTTGTGAATAAACTACACATTCACATCCTTATAAAAATTGAAAAGCATATCTGACCTGGAATGTAAGACTAGAAAACAAAGGATAATTATGTAGGATGAGATTCAATGTCAAGATTCAAGGCTCTATTGTCATGTGCACAGTAGCTACAGTGTAGATATGTCAATGAAAAACTTAAGTCACAGTCTCCTCCAACAGTGCAACATGAATATATATAGGACATAAAACAAATAAAACAGATATACAATGTGTTTTTCAGTGTGTCTGTAAATAAACAACCTCATCCAAGCTTAAAATGACCACAAACGTCTTCATTTTTGGTTAATAAAACAGTAGAAAATGGCAATTGTAACGTCAAAGAGGCCAAAACGTCCTCTCCTAATTGGTGTTTAATTTATCCGTGTATGAACCTGAGCCACGTGGTCGTGGATGCCCCCCCGCGCCATCATCCTCAGAGTGTGCAGGGCCATCTGCAGAGCCTCCCCCCCCTCAGAGGAGCAGCGGTTCACCGACCAGAAGGACATGAGGAACATCAGGTTCACTGAGGAGGAGAGGAGGTTAGATGAGACACTGGGAGTCGCTCGAAGACGCCATCATGAACTTAAAGAACTCCTAATATGCTATTTTTAGGCATATATTATAAGTCTCAGATATATACAAATATATAAAAAACATGTCTATGAAGTGTTTTGCTCAAAATACCAAACAGATCACCCATTCTAGCCATGCCTCATATCCCTCTGTTTCCAAACCACATTAAGGATTATTTCTGAAACAGTATGGAGCTCAAATGCTTTTTCTCTCACAGGTTTACCACAAGGTGAGTTCCTTTTGATTTCCTGCTTCTTTACACATACTCTCTCCAGTACAGGTTAGCTCTGAGTGATAGCGCTGCTTGCTAATGTAAACACAGACCATATTACTGTACGTCCAAAACACGTCGCTCATTGTTTCTGATAGCAACGTTTCTGATAGGCCCGTGGGTGTAAAGCCCGCCCACATTTTCCGATATTACGTCATATCGGAGGCAAATCTGGATCAGCTCCGTTGTAGCCCCGTTTTTAGAGATTTGGGTACGGAGGAAAAGAGAGAGGGTTTTATTTCCAGACACTTTGTGAGTTCCCTGACACACCGGGGACACATGTTTATGTAGAAAAGACATCAAAAAGTGCATGTTGCTTGATAGGAGTCCTCTGAAGCCTGAAACACGTCCACTCTGGCTCCAGCTGATCGTACCTGGTGTGGGGAACTTTGGAGCGTCTCTGAATCCTCCGTACTCTTCCTCGTAGGAGTGAGCCAGCTGCTGGAAACACCTCTGAGCCACATCTGGAGCTGAAGGAGGAGTCTCTCCGGGGTTAGCAGAGACCGCCGTGCCTTTCTTCAGAGCTTCAAGGATCCTCTCTCCGTTAGACTCCAGAGCGGGGCGGTTATTCTGCCACTGAGGGGCGGAAACAGTCATCCATGATAAGAGTATATGCAAGTGGTGACAAAGATGCTGGGAACAAAATATGTTCTTGTTCCCCAACATTTGGGTTGTGATCCTTGTCCTAAGCAGCTTTTAATAACAGATAACAATCATATCTTATCCCTCATACTGCAGTCTGCAAACCGAGCACATAACTCTGTATATTGCACAATTAACTTTAATACCACCCCTTTTTACACTACTCAGCTTTTCCACTTTATATATACTGCGATCTTTTTCATTTCAGAATAATTTGTCATATTCTTGTTTTACTTATTTGTATAATTACTGTATATTAAAATGTCCTGTAAACATTCATTTTAACTTTTTTTACATCAAAGGACTCCAATAAACTTGTTTTGATTTAAACACAGGAAGAAAAGTACACATTTTTAAAACTCCTTACCTGTTCCAGGATTCTTGTGAGAACCGTTTTTAACCCGGGTCTTCGTGCATGGTCTGTAGGAGGGAAGTACGTTCCTCCAATGAAAGGTCGAAGGTCGGGGGTCAACCACACACTCATGGGCCAACCTCCACCTCCAGAAGTAGCCTGAAGACGTTAGAAACCAGACGTAATGAGAGTTTAGCAGAGAGGAGAATAAAGGAGAGAGTTTAAATCAGGGGTGTCCAAACTAATTGGCCCTCAGCAAATTCAAAAAGTATAATGGAATATGGCCCACACATGAAACTTGTGCTTTTCTTATATTGTACTTCTTAAATATATATGTAAAAATATAACACACAGTAGTATTTATGTGTTAAGAAGCCCACTTTTCAAATAGATTCAGTCAATTAAAGTTGAAAACATTTTCTAACAAATCTTAGATGATAAAAAAGTTTGGACACCCCTGATTTAAATGCACCTGTCTGTGCACACACACCTGAATGAAGGTCATGTAGACTTTGTCCACGTCTGGCCGCTCCTCTCGGTCCACTTTGATGCAGACGAAGTTATCGCTCAGGAATTTTCCGATTTCCTCATCTTCGAAAGACTCTCTCTCCATGACGTGGCACCAGTGACATGTTGAGTATCCCACTGAGGGTCAGAGAGGACGAGATGAACAGGACACACCATGAGAGAAAGGAGGGGGAAGATTTAAAGTATTCTCATATCTGATTGGAGTTAGGATGATAAATAAGGGCAGTTAAAGGTCCCATGTCATGCTTTTCTGGTTATTACCCGTCCCCTTGTGTGTTATGTAGCTTTTTCTGCATGTAAACGGTCTGCAGAGTCACAAACCCTCAAAGTACACCCTGTAGCGAGTAAAACTCTAACACAGAAAAGACCTGTCTATGCTGCCCCAGAACGCCTCGTTGGAGATTTCTCTTTTTTTTCCTGGGTACAGTGACGTGCCCATACCCAAATGGACCCATTGGTCCAAATGGACCAATCCGTGGAGCCGTTACGTTACGTCCGTGGAGCCGTTACGTTAAGTCCGTGGATTGGTCCAAATTGACCAATCCACTGACTTCCTCACACACACTCAATCTTTTCTCAGCTGCAGCTCCGCCGATTTCTCCTCCCTGAGATGTCGGGACGCGGCGAGGCTGTGAGTCGGTGTGTGAGCACACACACACACTGCCAGCCAGGCTGCGGGTGTGTGTGTGTGTGTGTGTGTGTGTGTGTGTGTGTGTGTGTGTGTGTGTGTGTGTGGGCTGGGTTTCGCTTTGTCTCGCTGTGTCTCGCTGTCTCGCAGACGGCCACTGGGCTCACAGGGAGGGGGGGGGGCAGGAGCTCCAACAAGCCGTGTAGGACAGAGAGTGAATACACATACTATACAGAGATGCTGTATGAGAAACCAATGTGAGTTTGGAACATTGCACAATGTAAATCTATTCTAGTAGACCTCAACAATGGAATTATGATCAGGAGAAATGGCCATGACATGGGACCTTTAAGAGAAGGAAAACTAGGTAAAATGTTCCCTACAAAGTCTAAAAACTGCATGTATGTTAAACTGAACGTTGATCTAGAACAAAACAATGAAAGTCAAAGTAATAAATACCGAAGTAAATGTATTAAACGCGTTCTAAACATGAAATTAAGAGTTATAAATGCCTAAATAAATATGTAAATATGGCACTGACCATCAAACTCAAAATAATAGACATATAAAAATATAGTTTTAAACAGAAAATTAAGCTCAAAGTAATTGGTATCTATGAATCTGAAATTAAAAACAAACTCAAAGTAATAAATACCTTAAAGCTCCCATGTCATGCTTTTCCGGTTATTACCCGTCCCCTTGTGTGTTATGAAGGTTTTTATGCATGTAAACGGTGTGCAGAGTCAAAACCCTCAAAGTACACCCTGTAGCGAGTAAAACTCTAACACAGAAAATACCTCCCCAAAACGCTTCGTTGGAGATACGTCATTGTCCATTTGAGTCTTCCATTTCGTTCCGGGTACGGCATGATGTCAAACGGTACCCGGAACGAAATGGACCAATCCCGAAGAGCCGTTACGTTACGTCCGCGGAGCCGTTACGTTAAGCCCCCGCTGATTGGTCCAAATTGACCGATCCACGGACTTCCTCACACACACATCTGTGTGCAGGGAGCAGGCAGCTCAGCTGATTTCTCCTCCCTGGCTGCAGGCTGATAACAGACAGTTGGGATCGCGGCGAAATTCTCTCTGCAGACCCATTCTCACAGCGTTTATCAACCTTTTTCTTACTCAATATCAAGCCACACTTATTGTTTTTACTTCGGATGTGAGTTTGTGTGTGCTCAGGATGAGTTTGGCTGTGTTTCGCTATGTATCCTAAACAAGGAAACAACACCTCCACGGAGCTCAGCGCGATTCACAACGTCCCGACCAATCAGAGCACACTGTGCTCACAGGGAGGGTGCGGGCTGGAGCTTTGGGAGCTACAACGAGCCGTTAAAGGCAGAGAGTGAAATTCAGTGAATACACGTAGTTTACAGAGATGCTGTATGAGAAACCAATGTGAGTTTGGAAAAATGCACAGTATAAATCTATTTTAGTATACCTCAACAATGGAATTATGATCAGTGGAAATGGCCATGACACCTCTCCTTTAATATATCTCAATACATCTGAAATAAACATTTAGATTAAGGTAATAAATACCTTATTAAATATTAAAAATGTACTTAACATACAACTAACCATAAGAAATCTAATAAATAAAGCTATATTAATTGACCAAATAGAGTAAAGTAAGTCCACAATAAAATGCATTTTAATTCCAGGTGTGAGAGCTGCTTCTGACCTGATAGAAAGATGGGTTTGTCTTCGCTCTTTGCCTTGTCGAAAGCCTCTTTGCCCCACGGATACCTGACACAAAAAGACATTATATTAAATATGACATTATACTATTTTTAATTAACGTAATGTGTTTCGCTCACCAGTCCACGGGGTTGTGAGCGTGCTGCAGCAGGTAGGGAGACCTCTCCAAACTCAGCCTGTTGGTGTGTTTGTGAGGAGACGCCATGCTCATAAACACTGATGATCTGGAGACAGACACAGACACACACACACACACACACACACACAAAATCGTTGCAATCAAATCAGGTTTATAGTCAGATGTGTTATTTCGTGCACTTATGCCTACTGTTTCCTTACCAGGATTGTTAAATTTGGCAATCAATAACTTGTATTTTTCCTGCTAATCATAAGTCATATTGTCTAGTGTCATAATCCAAATACAGGAAAGGGCAACCATTATAGCCTGTTTAATATAAACTAATTAAAGGTAAAGGTGAATCTGACAGCATGGAGCTTTGCTTACGGTCAACCTCACTATATAGTCTGACATTAGATGTGTTTACCAGCATTACAACTATCAAAACACAACATCTCACAGTATCACGTTTTTGCATGCTAGCTGAAGGAAATACTACAGCTGTCAAACACTGTCGCTGTCGCCAAAGGTCACACATGTCGAACTCCATTCAAATATTACACAATTCAACTTTACTTTGCCTATTGGCAGATGCTTATGGCCTAAATAACATAAATAATCATATAATAACATTAATTAGACCTTGCCTTAAGATTCGGCTGTAATGAATATGACACATGGTCACATATCGATTAGTTTGTTTACATCTAAGTCAATGGGCTAGCTTTGATTTAGCCATTAGCTGAGCGCGTCAAACCAGATATAAAAGGTCATAAATCATTAGGGAAAGTGTTGCTTTGGTCTTATGTGAAAGCCGAATTAACTGACAATGCATTTAGACCTTATTCCAATGTCTTATCTGACAAATGAATGTATTTTCCCAATAGTAAACGTGTATTGAATGTTCAATTGCGTGATTTTTAAAGGGAGTTTCGTGCAACACTTATATTCGTCCGAATCACGTGCACAAACAGCAACTACCACATAAAGAGCATTATATCACCTGTCAATATTTGACCTACCATGCATTGTGTTGCTTAAATTATGCATGCATGCTTTGCTACAACAAAGTAATGCACGTGTAGCAACCAGTTAGCTTTGGAGGCTTTACCTGCGGTGGTAGGCCGGCTGCTGGTGGTGGTGCAGCGGGGATCTGATGCTTGGTGGGCGGGGGTGGATTAGTCCGAAACACCTTAAGTTTCCTCCTGAGTTCCGCAGAGGACTCTCCGATGCCAGAAAAGCTGCAGCTAAAAGCTGAGCAGCAGCAGAATCCACACGGTTATTCCTGCAGGCCGAGCGACGCCATGCCAGTGTTATCATCCTAATCCTGCAAGAGTGTGACTTTAGCAGGCTAGGGTTAGCCACTTCATTTAAAGAGGGCAGCCAAAACTTCCATGCATGGAGGTGTGCATGTTATTGCAATACCATGAGGATCCAACAGGTTTAAACATGCGAAACAATCAGTGTGTGAAGAAGTAAGGCATCAATGGTTGGGGAAGAATCAACATAATGCATTTAAAAAAACATTTAATATAACATCACAAACACTGAGCAGGTTTCCTCTCAGTGTTTGTGATGTTTTGTTAAATGTTTGTTTGGTTTTTTTCATGTATTGTGTCCTGATATTTGTCTGTTTATGTTACACATGTAGCTGCTGTGATGCAAGTCACATTTCAGACTTGATCTGACCATTAAAGTATTATCGTATCGTAAGAATCTACATAATGCATGTATTTGAGGGGGGACACATTGATTGATAGAGACATTTGAATCATTGTTGCTGAATATTTGCAGTGCATTTTGCAAGAATATGTTTTATATTTTATATTTTGGAAGCTCAACCACAGTTTCTATGACAAATATGGACACACTCAGACCCTTACCGACAAAAACACCCCCATTAAAGCACAATTGAATGTCCCCTGGTCATTAAAACATGTTATTATGCATTTTAAATATGTATGTTTTACACCAGATGTGTCCCTGTTTGTCTGTAATGCAGCTATATACTATTTTCCTGGATTCCTGCACACACGAAAATAAAAAAAGTGCATCATAATTAATATATAGTTTTAAATTATTTACAATTCAGTCATACCGACAGGAATATCTGACTCTGCACATTAGATAAAAACACATTCAAAAGCTATATTGTTTTTATTCATTGAGATATCAGACTGTGAAAGAAAATAAAAATACCACGGAAAAAATATATTTTGTAAATTGCGTGTGTGATATTATATTTCATTAGACAACAGTGGTATTTTATAAACAAGCTGCTATTTAAATAGTAATAAAATCAAGATAATTAATGTTATTTTGTAGTGATGATCAGGACTCAAGTTAGATTAACATTTCCCTCATTGGAAGTGAAAAAAATACAAATAATATATCATTTTAAGGCATTTTTTTTGCAGCAAAGATTTAGGACAGTTTTCAAATATCAAAAAGAAAAAAAGACAAAATGCATTTATCATTTAATCGTTTATTTGGAAGGCACAATGCACAGTAATGAACCCTTAAAACATTAAAATGTGTCAAGCGTAACAGTGCCAGATTTAGTTTTTAGCTAATTTCCCTCACATAAAACATTTAAGAAAATTACATTTTACAAACATAGCATCACACTCCCCTATACTATCACATGTTTCTGAGTATTGAGCTGGACAACAGTGGTATTTTATAAACAAGCTTCCATTTAAATAGCAATAAAATCAGATAATTAAGATTGTTTTGTAGTGCTGATCAGGACTTAAGTTGGATTAACATTTCCCTCATTTGAAGTGAACAAAAATACAAAAGATATATAATTTTAAGACATGTTTTTGCAGCAAAGATTTGGGACGGTGCAACTTTTTAAAAGATCCTTTAAAAAGAAGACACAATGCATCACACTCCCCTATGCTTTCACATTTTTCCGAGTGTTTAGCTGGACGACGGTGGCGACAAATCCGTCCTGAGTCACCACGTCCGAGGCCACGATGTTCATGGGAGTTTTGGCCCCCTGCTGTGAGACCCAGTGCAGCAGCCGAGGAAGACTCCTCTCGATGACTTTGGCCAGGTTGTCCCACATCCTGAAGAAGATGTACTTGAGGATTTTGTGGTCTTCTGGCAGAGTGAGGTTCAGCCCACACACAAACAGACCTGCAGGTCATACAGGTGGTTTGAGGGTTATACATGGTACACAATATAATTTTAAAACATCTTTGAATTATCATGCAGGAGATTAAGGATTAGTAACTTTGCACTGTGTGGCTGACTACTGTATATGTTATTTGGGAAATAGAGACACAGGATAATGGGTGTATATATAGACCACATATATAATTAAAGGGGCCCTATTCTGCTGATGTTCAGGTGTATAAAGTATCAGTATGTAGTGTCTCTACTTTAAAGAGTCCTCTCCTGCTGATATTCAGGTGTATAAAGTATCAGTATGTAGTGTCTCTACTTTAAAGAGTCCTCTCCTGCTGATGTTCAGGTGTATATCAGTATGTAGTGTCTCTACTTTAAAGAGTCCTCTCCTGCTGGTGTTCAGGTGTATATCAGTATGTAGTGTCTCTACTTTAAAGAGTCCTCTCCTGCTGATGTCCAGGTGTATATCAGTATGTAGTGTCTCTACTTTAAAGAGTCCTCTCCTGCTGATGTTCAGGTGTATATCAGTATGTAGTGTCTCTACTTTAAAGAGTCCTCTCCTGCTGATGTTCAGGTGTATATCAGTATGTAGTGTCTCTACTTTAAAGAGTCCTCTCCTGCTGATGTTCAGGTGTATATCAGTATGTAGTGTCTCTACTTTAAAGAGTCCTCTCCTGCTGATGTTCAGGTGTATATCAGTATGTAGTGTCTCTACTTTAAAGAGTCCTCTCCTGCTGATGTTCAGGTGTATATCAGTATGTAGTGTCTCTACTTTAAAGAGTCCTCTCCTGCTGATGTTCAGGTGTATATCAGTATGTAGTGTCTCTACTTTAAAGAGTCCTCTCCTGCTGATGTTCAGGTGTATATCAGTATGTAGTGTCTCTACTTTAAAGAGTCCTCTCCTGCTGATGTCCAGGTGTATATCAGTATGTAGTGTCTCTACTTTAAAGAGTCCTCTCCTGCTGATGTCCAGGTGTATATCAGTATGTAGTGTCTCTACTGTGACATGTCTCCATGCTTTAATGTTCAAAAAGCTCTTTATTTGTCTCATACTGCCTGTAGAGAAACTCCCTCTTGAGGGAACTTTGGGATTTTAGCCTTTGCAGACCATTTACATGCACTAAAACCTATAGAACACACTACAGGAAAGGGAGAACCCCCAAAAGCATGCAGCCAATAAACCCAATAAAAAAACACATATTTAGCCAGAAGAAAATGGAGCACTCACACTGGTAGGGTCTGTCCCTTTCCAGAACACAACAAAGTTTGGTTTCAACTTTTGTGATGTCCATACTGTTGCCATAGTAATAAGGTATTTTGCCCCATATCTCCTGGTGCATATTTGCCGGATAGTCATACGAGATGATGACGTTGGTCCCGTTTTCCCAGCAGCTCTTCAGGGTGGGGAAGGGGTACTGTTTGAACACATGACAGATGTTACTTATGTTTCTTAAAAATACCTGTAGTATTTTGGATCCTTTTGTATTTTTGAGTTTTTATTTAAATATACAGAATATTATATATTGTTTTGTTTATATTGGATATAATATTTTTCATTTTCATTTGAATTCTTAATTCTGTGACGAATTTTTTTTTTCAAATTGTGATCAATAAAGTATCTATCTATCTATCTATCTATCTACCGACCGACCGACCGACCGACCGACCGACCGATCGACCGACCGACCTACTACCTACCTACCTACCTACCTACCTACCTATCTATACCTATCTATCTATACCTATCTATCTATCTATCTATCTATCTACCTACTGACTTTACAGTAGGTGTGGTTTTAATGCACAGTTTCAGGATACTTTACCCTTTTGCAGAGTTTGGCTCCAAACAGCGTCTTGATGAAGTTGATGAGATGGCAGTGCAGCTGATCTTCGTACTGCTTGACGAAGCCTTTAAAGTGGGAGAAACTGAGGATGAGGATCTCTTTGGGATGCCTCTCTGCCCAGTCGTTCATCACCCTGAGGATAGTCTGTCACAGGGGGAAATAGTCGTTTTTAATACACATTCAATTCAATAACGGAACATTTCGGCTGCTTATATTCCCGATATTGTTCTTTCGGTCATGACCCAATTAAGGCCCAGTTGAAAATCATTGCAAATAAAATTGATACTCCAAGAGGTGCAGAACTATGATACAATAAATGAAAAGATGCGGTAACCAGAAAGGTTTTTAGCCTTGAATTAAAAAGAGAAAAACTCAGCGTTTTGGAAAAACCTCAGATGTTGAAGAAGATAATTTCAGATCTTTGGAGCATAGCAGCTTCTGCATGTTTTGTTCTGACTCTGGAGACTATCTCATGGGCAGATGTAGATGTTAAAGGTAAAACGTTTTGATTGGATGCTCCAAAATGTATATCTTGGAAGCTGTAACAATCCTGATATCACCTTTGACCAGGGTTGATGTCCTCCTAACTATGTATTGACGTATACATACAGAAAAGAGGCAATGTTCTTATTGTCATGTATAACGTTTCCATCCTTACCTCCACATCAGTTTGTGTTAACAGTCCGTGATAAAAGTAAAGTCGGTTGGGGTCGGGGTCGTTGTCCTTTCGAGCGATCCTCAGGTCAAAGTACCGAACTCCTGCATCCAGCTGCTTCAAGATGCTCTCCTCCTGCATCACAAGCCATAACAAAGTAAAAAAAACACTCTTGTCTTTATTTTGTTAACACACAAAGACAGGTTTGAACCACATTTTACCTGAGTCCTCGCCCATTTGTACAGTATTTTCCGCGCGAAGTAAATTTTGCTCAGTTTTTTCAGGCCATCCGGTTCTATTATAGCAGAGCTGAGGTCCAAGTCATAACTCATCGAGTCGTGGCTTCCTAGGAAATAACAAACACACAATTATGAACCTGAAAATGAGCAGAGTAGGGCCCCTTTAAGAGATTAAAGAGTAGAAAAAATGACATCTGTTATATTTCTGATTCTGCGAGGAGAAATCACCATGCACTTCACTTGGTGATGTCTTAAACAATGTTCTTCTTCCAAAATAACAACATAATTCTGATGTACTGTACACTGTCATGTTGCATAAACAATGTAAGCAGCTTCATACCTGGTATGGTCAGATTATGGAGAGGATTATTGTGGAGCTCTGGAGGAAGTTGTGACATCCAGTCAGTGTAGCTCCTGTCTTCACTTCGGCCTTTTTGTGCAGACATTGTCTTCTCTATTTCTACAAAAGAAACCTGAAAGTCAACCCTTAATCTCTTAACAATGCAAGTGTTTGCAATTGTAACTAAGTACGTTTACCCAGGTTCTCTACTTATACACTGTACTGGATACTTCTACATTTATTTAACCCTTTTTACATATGAAAACACATGATAAATGACAAGATGTAGTACTGTACTACCAATATACCCAGTATGTTAGTAAATTGGCTCGACTTTGAAACATTTAAATCCTACATGTATTTATAAAGCCAGGATAATATGATATTCTATAATAATAAAATACTGTGAAGAGAGCTCTACTGAGTACATGTATCTGATAATACGTATGTACTTCTACTTTAGTAACATGTTGAATTCAGGACTTTCTACTTTTACTTAAGTCATAAATCTGAGTACGTCTTCCCCCTCTCTTATTTTGTAGCTTACATTGATTTGTTTGCCATAAAATAAAAAATAAAACACGTATAACGATTAAAGAAATGCAACTTACTCTGCCAAGATGACTCCCAGCTTTCCTTCAGTTCGTTATAACCTCACATGTGAAAGTGCAGAAGTATACCAAGTACTTATATGATCATAAGCTCAAGGCTGCCGTGTCCACCTCACAATGGCAGTGTGATAAAAGAGGTCATCTGCAGTTGTCCAACAGGTTTTTGTAGGCATGATGAGATGAGGAATGTTTGATGAATGTAATATTAAGTCCTTCCTCATACCATTAGCATGCACTCATTTTGGTTTGTTGTTTTGGCGACACATTTGGCACTGAGAGGTAGTTTTAGGTGTGTCTTTGGATCTCACTTCCTAGATATTAATGCCTGTATTTTATGTCGCTACAGACTTGGTATAACTTTGAATACAGTTAAGAATGGCAATGAGATCAACTCTACAAGATTGTGAGTCAGTCAGACACCTCTCTGAGGGCCTAAGATATTCTAAAAAATAATATTTGAAAACATTAAAAAAAATATATATTTTTCATTAGTTTTACCAAAATTACTTGATTTGATTGTATTTAAAATGACATTTCCAAAAAAATAAATCCTTTGAATCTGCCTGTTCAGTTTCTGTTTGAATGTGAAGGGTTAAATGAAAGAAGCTCCTTTAGCCGTCTCTGCGAGTTATGTGAAGATAGAAGCTGATTGGTCGTCCTGCTGTAAATTCACAGAGGGCCCGCTATAGAGTGGCGAAGTCCCTCCCCTTCTCCATGGGAGCTCCATGGGACCTTATTTCAGAAAAATTATGTATTGAAGTCAATGGGGAGAGAAAGATTATCTTTCGATCCCGTTTGAATTGTGCCACGAATTACACATATGATGTTTGTCAATTTAAAAGATAATTTTGCAAGTCAAAAAAATACAAATGTGTGGTAAAACTGTGAAGTAACACTTTGTTTTGTGTGAAGCGCTCAATGAACTACATCTCTGGTCTCACACACGTCACCAAGACGGCCGTCACGTTGGCACATTTCACCTCTTTCTTTCAGAATGAAGCGAAAAGTGTTAAAAGAGGTGAAAATCCCTCCAAGTCTGGGCATGTTGAGAGCTGCACATACACACAAGGGGAGTTAGTCGGTTCCTAAGAGCCAGCATGCAGGACCGGCTTTACAAGGTTTCGGTGAGTAACACAAGTGTAATGTGTAATGTTAATGACATCACGTAGGCGACTCTGGGATTTGTAGTCTTTCTAGTTGCGTATTTTTCATAGTCTTATATTTCAACAGTTTTACGACAAATTGTGACTTTTTTGACATGGAAATGATTTTTTAAGATTGACAAACATCATATGTGTAATTTGTGGCACAATTCAAACGGGATCGAAAGATAATCTTTCTCTCCCCATTGACTTCAATACAAACTTTTTCCGAAATAAGGTCCCATGAGTCCCACCGGAAGGGGAGGGACTTCGCCTCTCTATAGTAACTCAACGAGAGAGTAATGTCAAATGACAGTACAATTGACCAATCATATCTTCCCTCTAAATGGGTGGGCTTTATTTTCGCGGACTTTATGACAAGTTCCGCTCGCTGTGAGGTTTATGCATGTGTGTTATAGCAGTGCTTGAATTGGAATAAAAAAGGTGCCAGTACTCTAAATCAGCAACTGTTTCAAGTTAATTTATTTATACAGCCCAAAAACAAGTATTTGGCTCAAAGTCATAGTATATCCTAATGCTGGTGGGTTTGTCTCTTTACTGTTTATTTTAGAAAGGCTCACTGTACTTAAACAAAATGACTCAGGGTGCATCTGAGATTAGAGGGGGTGCAGTGGTAAAGTGCTGAGTACCGGCACCTTGCCGGTACTCAGTAAGAAGTGCCGGTACCACATGGGTAAAAATCAGAAGTGCCGGTACTGCGTACCGGTGAGTACCGGCCCAATTCAAGCACTGTGTTATAGAGTGGTGCAGTTACGCATCCTGAAACCCGGAAGTAAGCTGCGCTCGGGTTCCCTCGACAAAAAAGCAATGGGGTTTCTCCATACCGTAGGTTTTTGGAATAGCTCGAAATAAGGTCTGTGGAAAACGAACCTGTTAGATAAATGCACGTTTTGTTCAGCCGGATAATATCCACATGTCTACCCTACTTTTATAATTTTCTAATCATAAATCTAATCGATAGATTTATGATTAGCATACGTTCGTTCATGATGGCTCATGTCAGTGATAGTGATGACACCGTTGCTAAATTATTAACCGAGTCATTTTCAAGATTGAGTTACAATGATAAATTGGAGTGGCAAAGGATCAGCTGCATGACCCGCCATCAAGTGCTTCATCCAGAAGGACAGGAGGATGGACTTTGTGTTTAAGTGATTTGATCATCAAAGGTAAGTCATTTTCAATGTGGGCCGCCGTGCCGACTTAATTCATTTGTAATTGTTACTTGGCTGTGGGTGCCCTGTCATGATAGGTGTTTATATAAATGGTGTTGTTTTGTGTGGTAGAGGGTCGCTGGCATTGATGCGTTTTGCACCCCGGACCGCTGTTTTGATATTCCGCTGAAGTATACGCTGCGATGTAATAACTCATTTTTTTCGAGGGAAGGGGGGGGGGGTCAGAGGGCCTAGGTATAAAAGTCACGGCTCGCCACTGGTCAGACAAAGTTATTGACCAAAACCAAGATGTAGTCTCTTAATAAATACAGGTTTTATTAAGCTTCAAACTTTACTGTCAACCTTTACCTAAATCTTTGTGACTCATTGACTGATTGGTGATTGTTTAATCAAACATTAAGCTTCTTGTACCAAGTTTGATTCCAGGCTTAGTAAATTATTTGCATGTCATACCTCTTTCCATCCCTCATTTATTCCCTGTCATCGGTCAAATAAAGGCAAAAATACCTTTAAATAATCTTAAAATCAAATGCATATCATCAAATATTCATGTGTCTATGTCTTCACTTAAAAGTGTGTGTCATGTTTATTTATTGTACATTTTAGAAAAACACCAGTCAATTAGATTGAACTCTCTTTATTGGATATGAGGAAATATAATCATATTTCGGACTCAGGCATTTTGTAAATCCTACTATACAACACTGAGATTAGTGTTAATTTTGTCAGCTATTTTTTTATTTAGTCGTAGTCTTAGTCCTGTGTCAAATGTCCTTTTTAGTTTTAGTCATATTTAGTTACCTTCATCCTGTTTTTATTTAGTCAAGTTTTAGTCGACTAAAAGTCTGAGCATTTTAGTCTTATTTTAGTCAAAGTAAACTAACTATTTTAGTCTACTTTTTGTCAATGAAAACTGTTGACATTTTAGTCTTTTTAAGTCATCAGATTAAATAGAACATTTCAGTCAAACTAGCCTAGTCTAGCCAAAACCAATCATTTGTCATTTTAGTCAAACTTATTTCACAATAAGATTATATCTTATCCTTATTTGATAAACGACACAGGTTGAAGGATTACGAATGCAGCTTTGCAGAGAGTATCTGGTCAGGTTTGTGGTTTTTTATGGCCACATTGCTTCCCATCTGATAAAACAATGCATTCGCTTTTTTTCTCTGCCTCATTGTAGCAAAAATGCAAATATCGCCTCGTTTCTTTCTCCCAGGCACTGGTGGCGTTAGACTTTTTCGTTGTCAGTCATTTTGACGGACAGGATCGTAACATCTCCGTCATAATCCATTATTACCCGTCGGGTCTGTACAAAACTCATCACTCACTCGCGCTGACAGGGGGGGGATATTCGGTTAACGCGACCACTGCTCCCAAGCCCTGTTGTTGCCATTTTATTTTCTGTTAAATAAGGTTAGTTGGATCCGAGTCTTCCCGACTGTTCATAGTGTGCTATGAACAGTGCTGCCCGGTGTAATTCAAATGCATACATGTCAACCTTTCCAAATCCAAAAGAGGTAGGTTTGCGCGCGGCAAATGTGCACGCCCAAATGAGGTAATCAGAAGAAATGGAACCCCAGTAATTACAAGTATAAACCATGTATTTAACATATATTGCATAATTTTATGCATTTTTCAGTAAAAGTGGTAGTTTGGTAAACAGTGACATCAACGACATTTTTGGTCTGTAAAATGCCCGAAAATGTCTCCACATTTTATTATATTTTTAATGTGTTTCTGGTCCTCTTTCAGTTGAGACAGTAGATGAAGGATGTGTCAGGATGTAGAACTCTTGTGTGAACATTGGATAAAGCCAGGTTCATATCTTGTTTCATGTTGTTGACATATTAGAGTCAAAGGTTTGCACAGAGCGAAATATCTTTGTGTTGTGCCATAAATCAGAAAATACTGCATTAAAAAAGTAATTTCCTGCATTTTTCTACTGATAAAGTGTGATATAAATAATGTACAGGCTTTCAGATTGCTGTAGTTCACTAAACAGAGACATTAACGACATGTTTGGTGTTGAAAATGTCAGAAAAAGTGAAAGAATGGGAGATAAATATCCCAAAATCTCAAAATGGTATTATATTATGTGTTTGTTTGTGGTCCTCTTTCAGTTGAGACACTGTAGGTGAAGGATGCTTCAGGAAAAGACCAAACACTGGATGTCTTTCAGTCGCCAACATGTGTTTTCGAGACACTGATATTAACGGGGAAACCCTGCAGGACTCAAATGCCTCGTCTCTGTTCCCCTAACTCATTTGGGAGTGATTACCCATCAGCCCCGGGGGTAACGCTGCCTTTCCTCTGCACATTGTTTCATTCTTTCAGAAACACAGAGGACTGTTTGTATGATGGGATCACAGACACGCTGCAAACGGTGTCCGCCAAAAGTCGAGTCCAGTGTCTATGTAGTGTCATTTGTATTTGTTATAGTTTGGGAAGATTGAACATCGGTAGGGAAAGCCAGCTAAGTCGGTAGGCGGTAGAAACATGTCAAAACCGGTAGACTACCGCCCAAATCGGTAGGGTTGGCAGGTATGCAAATGTGCCGCCGCGCGCAGCACAGACACACAGCTGCTGCCCAGCCGCAGCACCGGAAATGGAACTGCTGGGAGAAAAACTGACTATCAGAGATGTAACGTTATCTTTGATAATATTTCGTCTCCTCATTTTTTTTGCCATAGTTTTTATTTAGTAAACTACATTTTCGTCTCGTCACTTTTCGTCAACGATATTGCATGTTGATTTCGTTACAGTTATTGTTTACTGCCGTCGGTGCCGTCTAGTCATCGT